ATGAAATAAATTGGAAGGCAAGGTTATCTTATCACATGAAGGCCGCAGGTAAGTTCTTGTTTGCTATTATATTTGCAAATTGGAATAACATCCTAATACTAACGAGTTTATGCGATAATAATCGATTATCGTAGTAATGATCCACAAAATTTTTAGTAAGACCTAGAGTATTATAGAGTATTATAAGAGTATTATATTGTATTATAAGAGTATTATACTATATGTGGTAGGACTAACTGTATATGCTCAGTTTCTCCCGTGACCATGGATGCTGTAAAGCATTCGAAACGTCGGGAACCAAAAATCAAAATAAATCCGCGAAATAATCCGAAAAGATAGTTTTATTTAATAATGTCAAACATTCGCGTAAATCTAAGAAAGTATTATGTATATGCTAGTTCTAATACGCTTCTACTTTTTTTGACCGAGTTCAAAAAAGAGAAGGTATTTAATTCGGTCGTCTTCTTTTTGTGTTTATTATGCGATATAGTCAAATGGTAACTCAATTTTCTTAATTATTTTTTAATAAATAGGATTATACTTCAAAGGTGTTCTCATATAAGTTAAAAAACTACTAAGGTGGAATAGGAATAACATGTTAATGATTTTTAAATGATTTTGAAGTCAGGGTACCTACCATTTTTTTTAATTTTTTTGCCAAATTTTTTATTAGACTACCTTCATAAATGTTTATTTTGCATTTGTGTTTAAGTTTGTTACTTCTTCGTACTGAAACGGCAGAACATATTTGGATGAGTACACATATAGACTATGACCTAGAGGAACATATGTATAGGCTACTGTTAGGCAACTTTAATGTGGTTTCTTAACGAGTAAAAAATAAACACATATTATTTAGTATTTTTTGATTTCTACAAAGTAATTATATTAGCATTAGCAATAATTATACATCGACTCTATTTCAGATACAAAGTATGAATCGGTAGATAAATATGATAAACCCAAAACATTCAACTTGAACCCACGTATTATTTATTATACGTGGGATCAATATTACAATTTTTTTATTTTGCATAACTAGAAAGTGTATTGGTAATATTTTTTGTTGTACTTTCAAACTCAATAAGTTATTACTTTCATGTGTCAAAGAACCCCACGCAGTTGACGCTTAAAATGTTGATGGTTAGGTGTCAAATGTCAATTGAACTCGGAATTTCAACATGAAGCCATAGAACAACAACGTTGTTCACAAAAATCGTAACATAATATTTGTTAAGCTATCGTTTCACGCATGTTAAAATTGCATTCGTGTTTATAAATTTACACCGACATTTTTTTAAATGGGGAATTAATAAACTTTTCCCACTTTGCATTAAAATTTTGACTTTCAACGGTTTTTTAGCCTCTTGGTATTCGTTATCTATACATATAATAAAATTGTAACTAAGCCGAATCTGTACATTAGATATTTTTTGGAAAATCTTATTGAAATAGACATTATTATCGATACAGAGGCCGAATCTATAGTTTTTAGAATTTTTGTCTGTCTGTCTGTCTGCCTGTTTGCCTGTCTGTTACCGCATCACGGGAAAACCACTGGAGGGATTTTTATGAAATTTGGTATGATGGTAGCTGATTATCCGGGTCCACATATAGGATACTTTTACCGCGGGAAAATGTCTCACTTCTGAGAAAAAATACAAAAACTGCAATGTAAGAGTATGTAAAACATAAGAATTTGGTTTTTGGTCATCTGAACGTGGGTGGAGCCGCGGGCAATGCTAGTTTATTATATTGTGATAAAAACGTTATAACATTTCTACACAACAATTTCCCATTTTATTACTTTTAGAAGCGAGTTATGCGGGTGAGATATGAAAACGCGGGGATCTGCCGCCTCGCTTGCTATCTGTCGCAGTAATCTCACCGTTAATACGTGCTCCGATTGTCCTTGACCTTTGTTTATATAGCGTACTTGTGTACATTTATTACGCTTTAAGTGATATGCGATAAGTTTTATCAGTAAAGAAGTGTGTTGCAATATCGTTGAAATTGTTATTAGTCTACTATTATTATTAGCGTTTACGGAGATTTCAAAATTATGTACATATACATACATATAATATCATATTAAGTAACTTAGGTAATGGTAAGATTTTATAATAAAAAAATACATTATTTTAAACTACATATTCGATATATTTATTACGATTATTCGATATACGATTGTTTAGTTATAATTAAATGCTGTTTGCATGCATTAAATTATAAGTTAATAATCTCTAAGGTATATATTAATTGCGATTCAAAAAACATTTTCTTTTAGATACTTTAGAGGAAGATACAAACCAAATATACTAAAAATATGACAATGGCAAGGTATACCTAACCACCCAAATACACTTTTTAGATAAACATTTTACATTCCTTGTCTTCGTGGTAGACCAAGAGAACTTTCCTGCAGGAATTAACATTGAAACTTCTTAGATACTCTTGCCTTATACGCTGCCTACTCTTGTACTACTACAGTGCGGTATATGTATGTACATATGTTTTACTATCGCTTCATTCAACGCTAAAAGTATCACAGATTCGGTTCCCACTTTGCACTTCGACGTTGGATACCTTCATCCAATACGAAAGGCGTTTTTCTACACTCTACACAAAAAATATACATTAAGAGTGCAAAAGGATTTTATTTAGATTTTTAAATACATATTTGTTATTATTATAACTTTAAACGAGTAAGATAAGATTATTCAAAGTATAATTTTTATTTTTCCTTGATTTGTGAATATTACGCAGATTTTATGTAGGTATATGGATAAATATTTGGTAGGTATTGGTCTTTATGTTTTGATTTTTGTAATATTATTTATATTTTAAATTTTATTTTATTTATATAATTATACTTTCCCAGTAATAAACATATTTTAAAAGTAGTAGGTACTAGGTAGCATATTTGATATTAAAATTCTTACTCTCTCTATGACCAACGATTTCTCTAGGATGAAAAGCGAGCAAACATTTCTACATTACTTAGTCAAATATTACTTACTTTATATGTAAATATTTGTTTAAATATGTAAATAGTTTGTGACGGCCAGTGCCCCATTAAAATAATACAATAACAGAGGTATCGGTTTAAGAATGCGAGACTTGATAATTATTATCTTAGGCTTGAATTTGACCCACTTGTACCCATTATTTATTAGTAATGAAAAAATAAAGATAATTTATATATTCTTTTGTCATTCGAGATAGTATTATTAGTTCTTCTCCAAAGTGTGGAAAGTAGTAACCAAATGTGATGTGCAGGAGCCTGCGCCCACGCATGTACGTACTCCGTATATAATATCTGTTTGCTTATATATGCATCCATCAATCACGTGGAATGTTTATTATCGCATGTACATATGCCTATAAGATCAAATCTAGTATACTATATTTATATAGAAAGCTGAATTAGATGTAGTCGACTTTTTTGGCTGTTATATTTTAGCAGCAAACGAAGCTCACTTGTGAAATTGTATTATTACAATTTCGTTTTTTAAAGATTTATCTATTATAACACTAGTTAATATGTGTCTTGTAGAAGTAGTTACTGTTATCGGACTATATTATCGACTTAAGTTAAAGTTACCCAATTGTAAAATTGCACAATTTTTCTGACATATAAACATACTTTATTTTTACATTATTCTACTAAGAGATCAATGAAATCTACATTCTTATTTAGATTTACTTATTGTAATTTATAACTCATGGATTGTAACTTTGATTACGAATGAGTCCCCTTATACTGTATCAAGCAATATAGCTAAGGTCATATGTACAATTAGTTTCTCAGATATTATTGAAGTATATTTAAGATTACGTGAATTTATTTTAAGCCATGCATAACTTTAATTTATAGAATAAATGGGGCGACCAACTTAAGAAAATAATGATATCACATATTCTACATTTAATCTAGCCTGGGAAATATAGACAGAAAAATTATAAGTTATAAATAAGATTAATCTTAGAGCGCGCTCTTAATTAATTTTACAGTTATTAAAGTAATTCATACCTGAAGGTACTAAGATGTATTCAGCCCTTTTTAACGACCCACTGCTGCAGCCTGATTCCAGGCCATAGTCCACCACGCTGGCTAAGTGCGGGTTGGCGGACTTCACATGTTTTTAAAAACTTGCTAGGTTTTCTCAGACATGCAGGTTTCCTTACGATGTTTTCCTTCACCGTTAACACAAGTGGCAATCATCTTGGAAATGATTCGCACATGAAAATATCAGAGATGTGAGACCCGGGATTTGAACTCGCTTAACTCGGTTTCCCAAGCGAGCGCGTTACCACTGGACTACCACTGCCTTCTGGTAATAAAATAAAAAGAATAAATTTTATATAGAAGGGATTACTTAATTATTCAGACGATGCTCACAAGGATCAGTGCTAACTATGCTATGAGGTCACCTGGCCGCAACGTGCCTAGCGCCTTTTAAGATTATGCACTGGCAGTATCCTGTATAGTATGAACGATAGACGTGGTCCGTAATACAAAGAAGTCCAGCTAAGAAGTTTTGCACGTGACGAGGATGTTAAAGTTCCTTCGAGTAACTATCGACCAGTAGAGATGACTCTAGCTCCCCTCATATACTGGAATCAGTGTGCCACAAATCATATCGCATGTCTAAACGGTTTATACATGACAAGCGGCACAACGGTATGCATTATCGTTTTAACACGGATCTGAAAGCTTTTCGTTGGCCGCGAAACCTTTTTAAATGGCCCGGACTATGTTCAGTTGCTAATTACATGCCTAGTTGTACACCTCAGTTTTTGTACTAATTCAATTAGCAACAGTTGGAACTCTAACAATGTTTTGAATAAGACTTGACGTCTTAACATTTGATATGAAAGCTAGAATTGTAATACGTACATGCTACATTTTTTTCCATTTTTTAAAATATACTTCATCATTTTAGTATAAACTTATTTTGCAAATTGAAGTTTTTACATATATAAAATACTTTGTCCAGGATAAGGCAAGATTTTCGGACACAAGCTGGCAAATCCACCGGACATGGGCTCGTAATGGGGATCCTTTGCAATTGTCACCGCCGCCTGTCCGAGCTGATAACACTCTACCATCCACTGCCGTGTCTTCTCCACTTCGCAGCGACCAGAATGGCATCTACGACACGATCACGGTTAGTATAACATAGTAGTTATTTTTGATTGAATTTACGCATAGGGAATTCTAATCTCATATAAAATATTTCCAAGCTGATTGTGATTTATATATTGTACATTTTATTACAACTCGTTATGATTACACTGCGTTAGTTACGAGAAAGTTGATTTTATTATTGAAGTTATATATAAGTAGTTTAACAAATGTTTACGATGTTATATTTTATATTGGAAATTTTACAGTGCCAATGAACAGAAAGATTTGGTGAAAGTGAGGCATAAGATTCCTCTACCTTATAATGTTTTAATGCTTTACTTATAAGTTTTACGTTTATTATGTACGTACGTGAACTATAATATTCTTGCAAGTGCGTATATAATAACAGTTCAACACTTCCAATGAATATATATCCAGTTACATCTGTCTCCTCTAGACGGGTAATAAAATAATATGTAATTTTCTGTTACTATGGCTCATATTCATCACGCATTTAAAGACAATTTCTATATGTACTACCATGGTTGTTACAGTTATTTAAATAAATAAATTACTAGTCACGTTGATGGACGTTGTTATAATTTGAATGTAGTGGGTAGAAAATTGAATAAAATGACCGGGTTCGTACGTCAGGTGCCGTCACGCGGCCGCCGCACGCGCACCTCAGAGTAAAATGACGCAGAAGCCGGGCTACATTCAGCTATAGATTTGCATGAGGTGATTATAAATCATAAACTGCCGCCCAGCCACGGTTAAGGTGCATTCGCAAGTTACCTATTCCTGTTGTTCAACTAATGTACCTTTGTGCCAGAGCGCTCGTAAAGTAAGGGTTATTGCCCGCAGAGGTTCAGAGACCACCTTGAGTTATTGTAAGCTTAGAATGTCAAGTTCCTAAGCCACAGAATCAGGAATAAAGCTACCTTTAAACAAAATTTTCACTTAAATATTGTATGTTGTTTACCGTATCTTCCAACACACTCATACGCCCACGCGGTGCCCCAAAAGGTCAATTTTTTACCGTTTACTCTTTTGTTTGTTTGTGCAAATGTTTTTCTTTCTCATGCTATTCAATAAATAAGTTTAAGTAGCAATACTCAGGAAAGGTGCATAAAATAAATATATCTTGCAAAATTACATTTTCTTTTAAAAGATGATATATGTACCCATAACTACTCGATATTCGAATGATTTTGTATATTGTAATGTATTATATAATATGTGCAATATTATTTTTATTACATATTTCATATTATCAAAAGATCTTACAATTCTTAAGATAATGATACTTTTAGTTTCCATTTAATAGGACAATGAGAGCAATGAACCAATATTGTGATCATTCGATTCCCAGTTTCAACTGAAGTGCCGTCGTCGCGCTAAAATGTTTTGCGTTAAATTATTTTCAACGCGTAATATGATTGGTGGCAATTTATATTTTTTTAATATTTTAACACCTTTAATTTGCTTCACTAACTATAAAAATCGAATTTTTGACGATTTATTGTCGGTGTCAATTTTAATCTGTCTCTAATTTCCGTATTGATTTGCGTTAGAATTTATATGTCGTAGCCAACTAGTTTTATCAGCCGTTTAATTAGCGGCCTAGCTTTTTCATTAAACGGCGCCGTTTAGTTAGCGGCTAAATGACGTCCCGGCATTTAATTTGACGCTAGGCAAATGACTTGGTTCAATATCGTTTAATGACTTGCCTAGACAAGTTCATTTATTCACTAATATTTGGAATTTTTAAAGTTTTTTTTTCTAAAAGTTCTCCTCTTTTTTAGCACTCGCCAGCAGCTTCCGCGTACTTTAGACAGTTATTTGATATTGTAGTCTAATCCAACCCATTACTAACATTAATTTGGTTTCTATTTATATACCTATCTAAAGTATAAACTTATGTAAACTTATATTGGTATTTGTCTACACATTTACACATAAGTCGCAAATTGCACCTGTGCACACCGCAATGTTGTTTATTTAAAATTAAAACGTAAGTTATTCTCGATAAAATATATTATGTGTTTAGAATGTTAAAAATTACAATTAATAAATCAATTCAAATATATGATTTATTTCATTACAAAGTTTATATGAAGTTATTTTTATAACCACCATAAATATACATTTAACATATAATATAAATCCTATAAATTATTTGATTTCGGACTCGTTTAAACCTGCTAAGTCGGCAGTGCTATTACTTTCTAACAATAGTAAGCGTGACACGTACAAAAATGACCTAATCGGTTGTAGATTTTCGAAGTAAAGAGCTAGCGATAACCCCTCGTCCGGTTAGAGCGGCGTAATTGCGTCTATCAGTATTGATGGTCGATCAGAACTCTTTCGCGATAATGCATCGATTAACGCGGCTATTCAAATCCCCACTGCCTTATAATGGAAAGCAAAGTGGAATATCCCGTTCTAGGACACCATAGTATTTTTATTGCATATATATTATTAAAACAATTTATTCTAAATTACTAAATAAATAAATTTTGTTTGTGACAAATTATTAGAATCAAGTATTTCGATCTTAAGCCTTCATAATCTTTTAGTTTCATCATGATATATCTAACTAATATTATTAAAAATTAATTTAAAAAAATAATTTACTTAATTTGAAAAATATTTTCTAGGCCAGTTAAAAATAGTATAGATAGATTACTGTTATAAAAATGAATACCTCTTATGTATTTTTTTAATAAATTATAAACGTAAGCGACACCTATCTTATAAATAACGGTCAATTTCTTTGAGAAACGAAATTAAATCTCTGACAAAATCACAAGACTTTTCATGAATAAAAGATCGTTCACTGAAAAGGTTGTACGCAGATGAGGCTGTGTTTTAGCTTCTGAAGTCGTGAATGAATAATTTAGGATACCATCCTGGCTTTACTGGCTGATAATAAAAAAGCTTTACTTATACACGTTCCCTAGCTCTGATTATGTTATTATTTTAAACGGATCCAGAACAATAATTTTTGAATCGTAACATATAAATTCTGTAATAAGTATTAATATTTAATATCTGTTGGTATGAAAACATAAATAAGTCAAGATCTTGCAAATTACGTAAGACGAACGTCTATTCCGGAGAACAAGTACTGCTAATGCGACTGTTTGGAATTTTAAATGCTTCCAAGGTTTGTATTACGAGGTTGAACATATTAATGTTGTGTGGATTTGTAAATATAGATGATCTCATTACATTACAATACACGAAATGTGTACCTACAATAAATTCTATAAAAGTTTATGTATTTTATTTGCGTTTAGGTACATTCAAAAGCTTTTCGATGTGATTACTTAAACTATATTATATAAAGTCATTACAACATAGACTTTCCTATGCAGATAGAGAGAGCATGGCAAATTCGCTTTCGCCATTATCAAGACACTGCGTGTTGGGCGGCGTTACTCAGCGTTGCACTTTACTGTCCAGACCTGGTCCGATATCTGTATGTTCAGTGGTTTAGTATGTAAATAGAACCGGCGACATCCAGCATAGTATATTGTGCCAATCAGAAATAATATTATGAGCTCCTATAACTTTGACGTTAACAATTTTATAACAATTCTAATATCAAAACTACTTACTAAAATAATACTTTTTATAAATTAGAAACGCGAAATACAAATCTTTGTTTCTTTATGATGTCATCAGTACTAGCAGATTCGAGATTTTTGTTTCCAGTTTGTTCGACCGTCATAAAACGCGAGTTTATGGTTAAACATGAGCAGCCGCAGATGATAAGTATAGGGAGTAGTTATAAAGAGCATGTATCATTGACATTAAGTACTTTTGCGAGGATATATTTTTTCTTTTATTAGGTTTCAAGAATTATGTATAATGCAAATGTTCTTCCGACTGACATTTTTAATAGAAATTTGTGACTTGGTAGTTATTTTCTAATATAAATAGTTGAGGTTTGTCAGAGAGGGTGGTCTCCTATCTTTGTAAGAGATATTCATCGCATCAGGTGTCGGTGTCACAGTGTCAATGTCTGATTGCGGGTAGCGTGTTCGATGTCGCTGTAAATTTAATTTGACATTTAGACAATAGCAGTGCCGCCCCTTCACTCAGATCTTGCGATAAGGTCTTGCTTATGTATTCAAAACGTTTAAAGATTACACATGAAGCTTCTACTGTTGCAATACAATATTATGTTGTTAGCGATTCTATTTGTGTACCTACTATTAGGGTTAGACGTAAAATAAGACGGTGGCGGTAATTGGAAATCCATACGAACATAACATTCATTAACAAATTAAACATTCTTTTTAAAGATATTTGATTAATTTAGTATTTATATAATACAGTACGCCTTATTCTAGATGCGAGATAAAAGAGGATATGTTATATGTATAGAAATATAGAAAACTTTAACTTATTTTTTATCTTCATCAAAATTTGACAACACCTAATACATAATAGACAAGACATAATAGTAATTTTGTAGCACAGAATCGAACCCGGGAATTTCAAAACTTCCGAGTACAATTATAGACTCACTATGCTGTGATGGCGGTCCGTCATCTTATATTTGGTTATAGTGAATCTCGAACTATCTAAAGGTTTTCCAATATAATATTCTATTCGTTATGGATTGATAGAAGTACGATTAAAATAAATTGCTTTTGACTGTAATTGGACGTCAAAGCGGCCGCAAGCTTTAGAGTTCGGTTAAACTTTAGATAACTGATTGACTTTAAGTTGCGAATCTTTCTCTCGAGTCAGTGTTGTGCTTATTACCTATTAAAATCTGTAGCATAACTGCTACTTATCTGATTGTGTTGAAAATTTTAATTTTTGTTTTAATCTTTTCATTTTAATTTTCCTACATAACACTAATTGAAATAACTGTTCTTGAACGTTAGTAAAGTCAATAATCTGCGGCGTTATCTTATGAGGTCAATCTTAGATTGTAGATAATTACTATTACGTAATTCATTAATTGATCAATAATAATTTACATTTAGAAAGACGACAAAATTCGTCTTCATTTATTTGTAA